TCATTCCGTTTGAAGATTTTGAACATGTAAAATATATTGAAAGAGGCGCATTTAGCACCATATATTCGGCGATTTGGATAAGTGGTCCAAGGCATGTTTTAGATAGTGAATGCCCCGACTGGATACGAAGCGGTCCAACAAAATGCGCCCTAAAAAGAATCGACAATTCTTGCAATATAAGTCAAGAGTATTTAAACAAAGTATGCTTCACTATCATTATAAACATGATACAAGTGACTCTCAATATACAGGGTTGACATGGATTGGTCAACGGTCTGACCGATTTTAATCGGTCTGAATCAAGAGCTCAATACTTGATACTGGTCAAATTTGATATACATATTAGGAAATCATATTAAGAAATCATATTAGGAAATCATATTAGGAAAACATATTAGGAAAACAGATCCTATCAGACATCCGGATTTATAAAAACATTAGCGTTAGTTTTTTCGCGTGTTTTACAGATTACGATTTTAATTGGTTGTGGAATCCTAATGCATGTATTGTTAGTTAAAAAATAACATACTAGTTAATTAATTTGGCAAACTGGTCATTCGATTTTAAAGAATTTAGTCTAGACTAGACTTTAACACTTTGATAAATGTGTGCGAGCAGTCTAGTTGCATTAAAATTGTAAAAACCTTTATTTAAAAGTTTTAATCGCCGAAGCATATATGTATTTAAAATAGTTTTTGATAAATTATGTAAAAACTTTTAAAAAAATTTTTTTAAAAGTTCATACTAATATCAAATAATCGATTTTATGAGTAAATTAATACATAGATTTCAGCATTACTATAAATAGATGAATAGATGATAAATAGATGCGACCAGGCCGTTATAGAACAACTATATCAGAAACCCTTTGACCAATGACCGCCGATTTGATCAACCCTGAATAAAGAACTGTCTTTACTAGGAAAATGACTAGATTTAATCAGCAAAAATTTTAGAGCCTAGTGAAACAAAAGGTTTATTTATAAAAAAAATCTCGATAGAAGAAAATTTCAAGATTTTTTTATATCGAGAGGTCACCTGTATTTGCGTTAATTAAATAATAATAATAATAATAATAATACTAATATAATTTTATATATTTAGATTCTAAATTACCACAAATGTTATAGAACCGGATCTGCGATCGTAGATTGTTTTGGAGTTACACGTGACCCAACAGGATGCTACATGTTTGTGACCAAATTTTATGAATATGGAAATTTACAAGAATTTCTTACTAAAACTATGGGATGCCTTTGTTGGAGAGATATAATAGATATGCTTTGGGGAATGATTTCTGGAGGCCTTGAACGAATTCATGATAATGGTTTTTATCATGGCAATTTACATTGTGGTAACTTGTTAATTGAAGAACATCCAGAATCAATTCATTTAAAAATTTCTGATATTGGATTACACGGGCCCGCTGATGGAACAGGTTCTGGTTTTTATGGTGTTTTACCTTATGTTGCTCCCGAAGTCTTGAAAGGTAAAGGATATACACAAGAATCGGACATATATAGCTTCGGAATAATCATGTGGACACTGTCTTCTTTTGTACCTCCTTTTTGTCAGTATCCTCATGATCTTGATCTTGCAAAACGCATATGTGACGGTTTAAGGCCAGAAATTGTCAACGGTACTCCAGAAGCCTATTCTACATTAATGAAACGATGTTGGGATGAAAATCCCAAAAATCGTCCAAAGGCTGTTGAACTAAGTGATATTTTATGTAACTGGGTAACAGCCATAAGTGATAATATTGGTATATAAATTCACATTTACTTTTTTTTTTTTTTTTTTTTTTTTTTTTTTGTAATTTGTAATAAAATTAATAATAAATTCGCAAAAAAAAAAACGCGAGTTTCCTTTCGTATAATAATGTACATACGTAAAACTAATCACTTTTTATATTTATAAAGAATCAACACCAATTTCAGAGCAATTTGATCTTGCCGAAGAAAAAAGATTTGTGGACCTGATAAATAAGACATTTACCCAACCTGCAATTCATAATGGAGCGATATACATTAGTCGATTATTAGATTTCCAATCACTCCACGAAGACGCCCAGTAAGCAAAATAATATGGCACGAAATATTTTTAAATTACATGCGCGTAAACGTTACTTTAACCTTTAACTGAATATTGACAACAAACACGTGAATTTAATTTTGTAATATCAAAAAAACACCACTATCCTGCAATTCATAATGAAGCGATATACATTAGTCGGTTACTATTAGATTTCCAATCACTTCACGAAAACGTCCAATAAGCAAAATAATGAATATGACAAAATATTTTTAATCACATGCGCGTAAACATTACCTTGAACCTTACTTACTGAACATTGACAACAAAAAACGTGAATTTTAATTCAGTAATATCAAACCACCACTACCGATGTCAAAATCTGAATATAACCAAGAACTGAACATTGAAAACAAAAAACGTGAATTTTAATTCTGTAATATCAGATGTCAAAATCTGAATATAACCAAG